TTTTTTTTTTTAGATTCTACAAAATCGAGTTTGTATGTTGGAATTTGCTCGACTATAATGGGTTTTGTTATTTGCTTTGCCATGTGGCATATTGCCTTATCTAAGTAAGGCCCTATATGCTCTACGAATTTGTTTAGCCAAGCAAGCCGATCATAATTTGGATTTATTTATTCTTTTAATCCAAAGTGGTATTTGTGGAAGCAACTTTTGGAGGCCTTCGAGAGTTTGTTCGACCAAGGCCGAATTTCAGAATTCTGGATGAAAGTTAAGCTACTGAGTTTACTGAAGCCATCCCTTTGGTGGAGAACCTTAGACGCCATGAGCATAATAGTGGACCCATCACCAATCACATCTCTCGCTTCAGCTTCCACTTCCTCGTGATAAAAAACAGGCGGACCCTTATACTCGGTCGACAACTGCTCATCAAACAGAGGCGGACCCACAAACTCGGCGACCTCTGTGCATCAAACATAGTTGGGTCGTCATCATATAAAATCGGCGGACTCGTATATTCGATCATTCCCTCGTCATCAAAACAAGGCTGACCTGTATCTTCGATTTTTCCCTCGTCATCAAAACGAGGTGGACCCTCATATGCGGTCAACCGTTACTCATTCGCACAAGCCCCTGAATAGTCAAAGACTGTGAAATTCAAAATGTCGACACTAAAAGATGGCTCCCACCGACGATCGTCGGCCTGATAATCGTCATCCCAAGCCTTATGACCGAAAGGACTAGCCTCTGGGAAGGCGTTTCATCGTCACCGTATCCGACCCAAGAGTGAGATTGGGAGGCATCATGACCGAAAGGACTAGCCTCTGGTATTATATTATTTTTCTTATATTTTAACTAGTGTAATATAATTTATTTTATTTTTAATTTATTTTTATCATTATTATTTTTCATATACAAATTTATATAATTAAATTAATAAATAATCAATATATAAATATGTTGTTATGTGATTGTTAACAACGATTTAACATGTAGTTACATGGATAATTTTGAATGATTCGAACGTAAAACATGTAAGATTAAATCGACAATGGCCCCGGTCCGAGGTGAACCGAGGTGAAGAGCCGTGGTAGGCTTTTACGCGTTGCTTAATAGAGTGTTTACAGTTCGGTGAATTTGGAGATAGTGAGATCCCTCTACAAATGTCTTAGGCCCGCTATTTATAGTAATTTCGGGTTGATACGTTGGGATCTGTGCATGACTTTTTGAATAAAGTTACTTTTTGTGGGCGGTTTGAGGTAGGGGGCCCTACATAAATGATGACGGATCTCGTGGAGCTGGAGGGTCACACGTAGGCGCCTTGTCACCTACTTAAGGAGGTGACGACCTCGGTTCATGTTGACCTCGGTGGATGTTGACCACTTCGGTCTTCGGTAGTTCGGTCCGGTCTGTCGCCTGAACCGGGGTGGTGTATGTAACAACGTCGGTTCAATGATCATCCTCCTTATAATGTGTTGTCTAGAGTCCCTTAATGCAGGTTTACCGATCCGGATGTTAACAGAG